GAACCCAGATCTACCTCTCTCTTATAGATAAAGCTCTCACTCTCCTATGCATCTTTTGCACTAAATAAAAGCTTAAAATGTATCATGCTGCCTCGTTCATTTATGCTGGTATTCAGAATTCTTCTCTGAATATTAGGCAAAAACCCACACAGGCTTATTAATATTGGGAACTTATTAATAAGCATATAGTGATATCATATGGCACCCCAAATTCCAATAACATGTGGCACCCCAGATGGGACTTTTGGGGAACTTTAAGGGACCACCTTCCGGTATTATATTTTAGGGGGTCCAATTCCGATCTCAAAACTATTGTCAAATTGTGTGTTTGCCCAGTCAGGTAAAACAACTCTCTTTTCCTCCTTTAGAAGTTTGATCGTAAATGATTGTAGACAGCACATCTATTTATAGAAGGTCTGACTGCCAAATTCGTTATCTCCTTTCCCCAGGCTTGATAAACTCAAGAAAGTTGGACTTCACATTGGTAGTGTCTCCATTAGTGAATAGGGCAGTCTGGAGAAAACACGTGAACAGGAAACTCAAGGGCACCTAGTGTTGTTTTTATCAGTCCAGGAATTCTAGACTTGCAAATTGTATCCTGTTCTCTTCCTAGCTATGTGCAGAGCTGTAATGAAAGACAAAGAACAGTGTTAAATCCATTAGAGGAGTGCACTTACAATATAACTAGTGCCAGTCAACCAGATCCCTGTTTGTAACATTTAATCACTATTTAGTTTTGCATAATTTAAAACGTCCTTAAACTTATGTCTGTTTCGAAGGAAGGAGTTTTTTTTCCTTGTCTTTCTAAGCTAATCTATTAAAAAGATTCAATTTAATCAAGACTAAGGGTGGGATTTTTGGCTTTTTTTCTGAAAATATATATCTTAAGGTTTATTTCTGAAAGTTAACGTAATACCAAAGGAATCTGCAGTTTTTATCTCAAAGGAAACTATATGTAAGACCTATATAGTTTAAAATCTATTGAATTGATTGCTCACATAAATTACAGAATGCCTATTGTGTGTGCAGCACCCTACCAGGTGCTATAATGCTTTTATTACAAACACGAATAGACAGATTTTGTCCTGATTTGGTTTTTGCACAAGGCATACGTACATACTTCCATATGTAACTAAAAGGGAAAGAACATTGTGATTGTGACTGTATAGTATCTAAAATTAGTTCTCCATTACTTGACATGCATTTCTGGATGTTAAAGAAAAATTCATGTCTTATGGTAGAAGAAATACCATCTTCCATTTACTCCTCTTTCATAAAGATTGTGGGTTCATAAATATTTAAATGACCAATCTGGATTGCTGTGCAGATTGCCTTTGTTTGGAGTGGTTTTAGGCTCTCTAATGCTTTTTTGTTTCATAAAAGTTTGAAAGTTTTATGTTTGTAGTATTTCTGCTGCCCTGGCCCCTTGGTTCTGTGTGGGCCTGGGGGAATGCGCAAGCAGGAGAGCTTAGTATCACTGGTCATCTCCTCTCACTACTTTCCAGGGTGCACACGGCCCCAGCAGTAGTAATCAATTTTTTTTTTTTATTTCTTCAGGTTCCATCTTATTGTGATGCCATTGAACCTGTAAATTGAATGACAGCAGTTCCCTTTGTTTTGCTGCCATGCTTATCAGTCTTCTGACCCTAAATAAGGCTTTGCATCCAGCTTGCCTGTGAGGATAGAACACATTTGCCACCAGATGCAAGTGCCTGCTGCTTGTTACTTGGTTTCTTATTACTTGATCAATAAATTGCCATTCTGTCTCATATTGCAGTCTTCTGTGAAGTGGCTAGGATAAAGTAGCCTGCAGAGTTGGATTGCCTCGGGACACTGGCAGCTGAAGGCCAGCCCTTGCACCCTGGCAGCCTGAGCAAGGTTCCGCAAGGCTCCTTGGCAGCCAGTCAGCCCCTCCTGGCCACACCCTGGTTCCAGCATCCATCTTCCTTATGAACCAAGTAACTCCAGACTTGATGTGTCCTTTGTTCATGTTTTCTCAAGAGTCATAAAAGGCTCCCCCCCCCATCTTTGAAAGGAGTATGTAGGTCTTGGACAACTAAAGCTGACCACTTTTTCCACTTAGATCTGGCAAGCCACCCATAGCTGCAGATGGTATTGTAGCTGCAGGTCTTGTGCACGTTTTCCAGTTCGTTAGTACCTTCCTGCTAGAATAAAGGCAGGGCACTGTGAAATCCTTAGCAGTTGCTCTTGGTTGGAACTTTAAGATCCTCGCCTCCCTGCTCCCCCATGTTTGTTGGAAAAAGTAACAGGCATTCATTTACTAATTTGAATTTGAGAAGTATCTTTGAAATAAAGCTTCATGTGCCTTGAAGGAGTTCCCTAGAAGGCTGCTTCCGGCTGTACAGGCCTGTGGGCCTTCTGAGGATACAGAGTTTGTGTTAGTGCGTTAACGATGTTGTAAAATGTTACAGTAAGAAAACTTGTTTAACTTTGTGTCGTCTGGCTTTCTTAAATCTCCTTGACTTCCTCCACTGTATTCCCTTCTCCTACTCCTAAGTGCAGATGAATAAACGTGATTCGGGGATGTTTGCTGTGTACCGTCCCTGTTTGTCTTTCTTTCTTTGGCTTCTCTGCAGCTGAACCTGCAGCAGAACATGAGGCAGTGCTTCTGAGATTTCCAAAAATGGTTTGGCAGTGTTGCCTTTGGTATCATTTCAGTAAAAGCAGCTTAGGCCTTAGGAAAGCACTTGGTTATGATCGTGCTTGTATTTAATCTACTTTTATTATTTATTATTTTAAAAAGTAATATTCAGTATTAAGGCATTTATTATAAAAAAAACTAGATATTTAGAATAATATTTCACATTTGTGTGAGTCATTGTGGCTTTCTTGTGTATTGCCCATGTATTGTCTGAGGTGGCCTTAGACAGTCTAGGCCTGTGAACTAGGCAGAGCAAATGTTAAAATCCTGTCTGGTAAATAATGACTTGAGTCCAGAATGTGCTAGTGGTTTGAGTAAGACCATCTGTAAGGCCATATGATCTCAGCCCTGAAGTCGGAGTCCTGCCTCCGCTGCTCACTGGCCACGTGGCTTTTCCAGGCTTCAGTACCTACTGTGGGGCTGTTGTGAGGAGGAACCCTAACGAGGCGTGGGAAGTCCCCTCTTTTAAGTCCTCAGGAGGAAAATAATGAATAAAACCTCTGGGGCTGGCACTGTGGCTTTGCGGGTAAAGCCACCGCCTGCAGTGCCGGCATCCCATATGGGCTGCTCCAATTCCCATCCAGCTCTCTGCTGTGGCCTGGGAGGGCAGTGGAAGATGGCCCAAGTCCTTGGGCCCCTGCACCCACATCGGGGACCCAGAAGAAGCTCCTGGCTCCTAGCTTTGGGTTGGCACAGTTCCGCTGTTGCAGCCAATTGGGGAGTGAACCAGTGGATGGAAGACCTCTCTCTCTCTCTCTCTCTGTCTCTTTCCGCCTCTCTGTAACTCTGCCTTTCAAATAAATAAATCTTTCAAAAAAAGTGTGTGTTTTTTTTTTAAAAAACTCATAAAGCAAGAATATACCTGCCCTCACTGCTTGTGCTGCCCTTGTTTATCATGCTAAGGTAATTTGACTTGTAGGTAGTAAGGAGTATGAATGATTATAAACAAGTGACTTGAGCAGCTTCTTGTTAGGAAAAGATTCAAAGTAGTCAGCAGAGGAACAGATTTATGATGTCAAAACAGTAGATTCAGTTTCAGACATAGTGAGTTTGAGGATTAAGCAAAATGATGCATAAACCCAGCAAGACCGCAGTGGAACTGGGGATTTGCATACTTGAATTGTTTACTTTCAGTCTACACTTCACTTGCTTGATGTGGAAGAGCAAGAAAGGTCTTTTGGTTCCTCCATCATCCCTAGTATCTAGTCTGGTTCGGGTCTCCATCTGGCATCTCTGGCTTCTTCAGATTTGGGGGAATCCTCTTCAGCTAAGAATGCACCTTTGTGGGGTCACTCTTGGTCAAGGTCTGTTAAGATTTTCATCCAGATAAGCGAAAGCGTCTTTGATACATGAACTGTTTTACTCTGGTCCAGATGTTGCCTGTGGTCAGCAAATCTCTTAGCAATGCCCACCTACAGCAGCCACTAGTGTTCCTTCTGCCCCGTGTGACACAGCCACTGCTGCTTTCCTTGCCCTGTTGTCCACAGTGGCTTCTGTCAGCCCGTGCTTCAGGGCCTAGAGCTTGTCAAAGTTGCTAGTTGAATGCTTTTGGGCAGATGCTGCTTCTCTTGCTCCCTGCCTTCATTCATTTCTTTTTCCTGCCTGATTGCTGTACGCATTTGGGTTTCATTTGGAAATGTACCTCACAACCTGGAGAGTGAATTACACCTTGTTACAGTGTTATCTAGAAGGACACAGCATTCAGAAAGAAATGGGGTGACTGTGGACACCATTGAAAGGTGTCTTTCTCAAAGCAGTTTTCCCCTTTAGCCTGAGGCTTGCATGTAAATAGGATGGAACACTTCATGTTTCATAGAATTCACATAGCAGTAGCTACTTGTTACTAACCTACCTTAACTCTTAGGAGACTTAGCATTTATTGGGAACATAATTATTAGTCAAATCTTGTAGATTTCATTTAGTAATCAGTTAAACAACAGAATGGATTGAAACGGTGTAAGCCTCTGCCTGCAGCTCCAGCATCCCATATGGGCACACTTTTGATTCCTGGCTCTTCTACTCGAGATCCAGTTTCTTCCTAATGTGCCTGGGAAAGCAACAGAGAGTGGCCCAAGGGCTAGGGCCTCTGCATCCACCTGGGAGACCCGTAAGAGGCTCCTGGCTTCAGTCTGGCTCAGCTCCAGCTGTTGCAGTCATATAAGGAGTGAACCAGTGGATGGAAGATCTCTCTCTGTCTCTCTCCCTCTCTTTCTCTCTGTAGCTCTGCTTTTCAAATAAAATATAAATAAATCTTGAACTGTTTTTTCACAATAGAAAGTAAATGTTTTCTGGGTTATAAGGAGAGTTTTTTCTAATCTTTCTTCATATGTTGTTTCAGTTTCCGTTACTATGGCAATGACGGCAGGGAACACAACCAGCTTTCCTATGAGCAACCATACCCGGGAGAGAGTGACTGTAGCCAAGCTCACGTTGGAGAATTTTTACAGCAACCTAATTTTGCAGCACGAAGAGAGAGAAACCAGGTATAGTCAAGGTTCTTGCAGCTGTTATTCCGTGAGTGGAATGTAACACGTTTTCCATTCATCATGGTGTTTTAGTTTCTTGTACTGCCAGTCTACCTAGTTACTTGTTTTGTTTTCATTGAATACTTTTCTGGGATACCCAAAGCCTTGCATACCTGTGTGCTTACATCACATGTCAAATGATGTCTTAAACCTTTTTCAAGTACAAAATTATGATATAACATCATACTTTTCATTTAGAGGGGTGCTTTGTGAATCACCAACTGTAAGCCAAAAACATTTACAGTGTTGTATGGATGACAGGAAGAACAGAACAATTAAAAGCAGTGGATGACAAGTTATTTTGTCTTCAGAAAGCTTGTAACGTAATAAGGGAGATAGTGCATATAAAGAAGGATGAGTATCTCCAAGAGAAGATTGCTTTTGACTGAGGCAGCTGGGAAGGTTCGTGAGTGGTAGTGGCATCCACACAGGCTTAAAGGAGGAATATTTTTGTACACGCATAAGAGGAAGAAAAAGATAAAAGAGAGGAAGGATATTAGAAATAGAAGAAATTATTTTACCATCCTGGGAGCTTTGCGTGCTTTGTTAACATAGTGAAGACCTTTAAATTTTGAGAATTAAGTGATTGCAACTGTGTCTCTGGAAGAGAACTTCAAATGCAGTACAGGGGATGTGGCCAGATTAGAAACAGGAAAGGCTGGCGATGTGATCCAGGCAAATGGAAAGGAGGCTTGAGCTAGGATTGTGTGAAAACAATAGAGAAGAATTGATGAAATGTGGCAACAGGCCAAATATAAAATGTGTGTGAGAGAAGTAGTTTGGGCCCTGAAATTTCATGCCTAGGCAAAGTGGTGTAGTTTAGTGAAATAGGACTAGAAAAGAAGATTGAGATTTTGAGTTTAATTTTGGACAACATTTACTGTAGATTAGACACGGGTGAGGAGAGAATCGGTGAACTAGAAAATGAAATTTGAATAATTAATCAGAAGTCAACCTAGAGTGCAGGTATATGAAAGAGTGGTAAAACATGGAGAATAGTGAGTGAGCTAATGAATCTCTAACTAAGGTTCCTAAAGGAGGACAGGAATGAGAGTGGAGCAGAGGCAGCACCAGCTAAGAGTTCCCCACCAGCAGAGTCAATTTAGGTAGAGGGAAACATGTGAAACAGAAATGTAAGTGGTGAAAAGGTGGGTAAATCTCAAAAAAAGGAAAAATACAGTGTCATATGCATGCTAAACAAATAGGTCTAAAATATTCTCCAGCAGTAGGATACAAGTCAGCCGAGAAGTGATTAGAATTAAAATGGTCTTTAAAATCTTTGCAGAAAGGTAGTAGAGATTGATTAACTTCAGACTTTGACAAATTAAGTGTTCATGTTCTGATTTCTAGGATAACAATAGTTTGCTAGCTTTTAAACTAGTAGAAGGGGGAAATTAGTTGAAAAAAAAAAGTTCAGAAGAAGGCAAGAGGGAAAAAAATTGGAATTCCAAAATATGAGAAACCGAAATACCCAATAGAAAGCACAAAATAAATTAGAAATAAATTTATCTGTAGTTACATTGAGTATAAATGTAATTAAGTCTCTGGAAGTGATCAGATCATCATGGGGAAACCAAAGATTACGTCTTTTCAGAAGGTAGGCACTGCATATTCATCAGAATTTTAAAGGTTGTCTTTTTCTGCTGAATGGTTACAATAATTGTTTTGCCATTTGTTCCCAAAGGAAAATAAGAATGAAAGTATCTGATGTTATTAATGAACATCATCTTAGTTTGGTGCTGTGGGAGTCAAATTAAACAACTTGAATTTTCTAAGAGTTCTAAGTTTATCTAGTTGGATAAACGCATAAACCCAACAAAATATGGGTCAGGGCCAAATGTGAGAGAGCACTGTAGGAGGAGTGAGGGGCCAGCTCTATGGCACAGTAGGTTAATCCTCTGCCTGTGGCATCGGCATCCCATATGGGCACCAGTTCTAGTCCCTGCTGCCCCTCTTCCAATCCAGCTCTCTGCTATGCCCTAGGAAAGCAGTGGAGGATGACCCAAGTGCTTGGGCCCCTGCACCTGCAAGGAAGACCGGGAAGAACACCTGGCTCCTGGCTTCGAATCGGTGCAGCTCTGGCTGTTGTGGCCACCTGGGGAGTGAACCAATGGAAGACCTTTCTCTCTGTCTCTCCCTTTCACTCTCTGTAACTCTACCTCTCAAATAAATAAATAAAATCTTTAAAAAAAAAAAAAAAAGGAAAAGGTACAAGAGAAGTCGTGGATCTTCCCATTTAGATATGGTGGAAACAGAGAAAGGTTACTGGATCTCTCTCAGAATGAGTGGTGATTTCAAGTGTTAACGTTTGCAAGGGTTGCAGAAAGGGGTTGGTGGAGATTTGACAGCAGAGTACAGTTGAGGGTGTTTGGCCTAGTGTTTTGGATACCCAAGTCCCATTTCAGAGTGCCTGGGATTAATCCTGGCTCCATCTCCTCTAACTTCAGCTTCTTGCTCATGCAGACCTTGGGAGACACTGATGATGGCTCAAGTAGTTGGGTCCTTGTCATCCACATTAGAGATCTGGGTTATGTTCCTGGCTACAGGCTTTGATCAGCCCAGTCCTGGCCATTGTGGGCCTTTGGGACAATAAACCAAAAGTGATTCACTGTGTGCCCCTCAAAAAAGAAAACAAAAATTTTGGTGCAAAACGTTTTTTTGGAAAACCCATGCATTTTTCATAATACATGCTTTCCATGAATGGTTTGAAGACCCCTCATATATTAATAGGCCCAGAACAGTGGTCCTTATACTCTTTGGATTCTCTCTGCAGAGACAACTGGAAATCATTCAGCATGTAGCTTTGAGGTGCCCGGGGTGCATGATGGCAGACACAGAACTTGATATGAGGAACTTATTCCATTTTAAGTGCTGAGGCCTGGAGTAAACCGAAGATAAACATCAGTGTGTGACGTGCTGAGGAAGCACGTGGGTGGAGAATGTGTTGTTGGGTGATCTTCATCATGGTTCAGGAAAGAGCTTATCTTTGGGCATATTGTCATGAATGGCAAATACCAGAAAGTGTGTGTGAGGGTTTCAGTCTTGATCCCTTACACCCATTTGAGTTAATCCTGAAAAACTGATCTCATTCTGACACACTACAAAACTAGTTAGAAAGATCTTCCATCTGTGGTTTCACCCCCCAAATGGCCACAAACTGGCAGTTCTGGGTCACGCTGGAGCCAGGAGCCAAGATCTCAATCCTAATTTCACACTTGGGTGGTAGGGACCCAGGTATGTGGAACATCTTTTGTTACCCTCCCAGGCACATTAGCAGAAACTGGATTAGAAACAGAGGAGCAAGGACTCAAACCAGCACTCCCATATGGGATGCCCATCCCATATACCACAACACTGGTCCTAGAATATCAATCACGGTTGTTAAGAATTCATTTAGGCGTGAGAGTGAAGCAAACCTTTATAGTAAGTTACTCATTTGGCCAGTATAAGAAAACTAAACCTACTTTTTCACTTTGAGAAAGAAAATTAGTCTTTGTTTATTTTGATCCAACTGGAAACTTTTTTTTTAGCATTGAAAACTGAAGTAGTTTGTTTGAATAAACGATATATGTTTTTAAATAAGTACAGTTAAGAACATATTTAAATTTTTATTTTTTTTTTCTTTTGAAAAGGCAGAAGAAATTAGAAGTGGCCATGGAAGAAGAAGGACTAGCAGATGAAGAGGTAAAGCAGTAACCTGTCCTTGCTGTACCAGAGTAACCCTAGTGAGTTTTTCATTTCTTAGTATCGGATGCTCTCAGAGCACATGTTTGCTCGGCCCAGTGGCAGGTCCTGGACCCGCGGGCTCCAGGTGTGTGGGGCAGGACAGTCAGGCTTCCGGAGGAATCAGTCATCTGCTAATTCTTTCACATTTCTTTCCTCATTTTTTTTTAAAGATTTATTTATTTTCTTGAAAGAGTTATAGAGAGGCAGAGGCAGAGAGAGAGAGGGGTAGGTCTTCCGTCTGCTGGTTCACTCCCTGAATGGCTGCAATGGCTGGAGCTAGGCCAATCCAAAGCCAGGAGCCAGGAGCTCCTTCTGGGTCTCCCATGTTAGGTTCAAGGGCCCAAGGACTTGGGTCATCTTCCACTGCTTTCCTAGGCCATAGCAGAGAGCTGGATGGGAAGTGAAGCAGCTGGGACTAGAACTGGGGCTCATATGGGATGCCAGCAATGCAGGCAGCAGCTTTACCTGCTACACCACAGCGCCGACCCCCCTCTCACATTTTTCAAAAGCCATCTCCTTCTCTAACCCATTGCTACACCCTAATTTCAGCCACTGCATATTTCATCTGAAGAATACCTGCTCCCAAGTGGCCTCTCTCCTTCCCACCCCTAGTTTTTCTGTGCACTGCGGCCCAGGTGGATTTGATCACGTCACTCCTCCACTTAGTACCCCTCACGGTGCTGTCAGGACAAGGGTGAACTCCTTACCTGCCGGGCTGCGAGACCGTCTGCCAGTCGGCCTCTGCCTGTCTCTCTCCAGCCTCTCGTTTCTGTCACCGGGCCCTCCACGCCAACCAATAATGAATGACGCTTGTTTCTCCTCTGTTGCCTGTGGACCTTTGCAAGTGTGACTTCCGCTGCTTGGAGCTCGTCTTTTTCCTACCCAACACCCAGTGTTCCCTGTGCGAGGCGTCCGTTCCGCTGGGAGGTCTTCACTAACGTCTCGGCGTGTGGCGTCGGCGTTCTGTCATGACTGTTGCCGCTTCTGTGCTGGCTTTCCAACACCATCTCCCCGGACACGAGAAGCTTCATACCATCTTGTTCAGCTCAGCCTCCAGCGCGGGGACCGACACTGAGGTGGAGCGGGTGGAGACTCATCTGCGGTGCCGTTGTCCCGTATGGGTGCTGGTTCATAGCACGGCTGCTCCACTTCCGATCCAGCTCCCTGCTAGTGCCTGGGAAAGCAGCGGAGCATGGCCCAAGTGTTGGACACCTGCATCCACACGGGAGACCTGGATGGAACTCCCGACTCCTGGCTTCGGCCATGCCCAGCCCTGGCTGTTGCAGCCTTTTGGGGAGTGGATGGAAGATCTTTCTTCGTCTCTCCCTCTTTCTCTGACTTTCAAAATAAACAGAAAATCTCCAGAGCTGGCATAGAGTACACATTGGTGAATAAATGAACAGTGTCACCCTCAAGGAGTTTACATCTTAGAAGAGATTGTGGGTGTGCATGTGTGTGTGCATGTGCCTGAATGTGCAAAGATGTGTGCTTGTGTTGGAATGCAAACTTTGAAAATAAAGGTTTTTTCCCCTTTAATTCGGGGTGGGGGGGAGCATGTCACAAAAGGTTGCTTAGAAGAGGTAACAGTTGATTTGAATCTTTTTTTTTTAAGGTTAATTATTTAAAACTCAGAGTTACACAGAGAGGGGGAGACAGAGAGAGAGATGGATCTTCCATCTGCCGATTCACTCCCCAGGTGGCTGCAACAGCCAGTGCTGGGCCAGGCTGAAGCCAGGAGCCAGGAGCTTCTTGCAGGTCTCCCACTTGGATGGCAGGGTCTCAGGCACTTGGAACAGCCTCTTCTGCCTTTCCCAGGCCACGAGCAGGAAGTTGGGTTGGAAGTAGAGCAGCCAGGACTCAATGGTGCCCATATGGGATGCCGGAGTTGCAGGCGACAACTGTAGCTGCTGTGCCACAATGCCGGCACCGTGAATCTTGAAGAATGTGTCAAATTGATATTATAGATAAGAGGTATATTTTTTTTTTCTTTTTTAAAATATTTATTTATTTATTTATTTATTTTTTAATCTTTTATTTAATGAATATAAATTTCCAAAGTACGACTCATGTGTTACAATGGCTTCCCCCCCATACCGTCCCTCCCACCCACAACCCTCCCCTTTCCCACTCCCTCTCCCCTTCCATTCACATCAAGATTCATTTTCGATTATCTTAATATACAGAAGATCAGCTTAGTATACCTTAAGTAAGTATTTCAACAGTTTGCTCCCACACAGAAACATAAAGTAAAAAATAATAGATGATTTTTTTTAAATGATGATGAAATCAGATCAGACCTATTGTCATGTTTAATCCCAGTGAGAGTCAAGTTGGGAATTGATAATTTCTTTCTTTCTTTTTTTTTTTTTTTTACAGAAGATCAGTTTAGTGTACATTAAGTAAAGATTTCAGTCGTTTGCACCCCCATAGAAACACAAAGTGAAATATACTGTTTGAGTACTCGTTATAGCATTAAGCCTCAGTGTACAGCACGTTAAGGACAGAGATCCTACATGAGGAGTAAGTGCACAGTGACTCCTGTTGTTGACTTTACCAATTGACACTCCTGTTTATGGCATCAGTAATCTCCCTATGCACCAGTTATGAGTTTCCAAGGCTATGGAAGCCCTCTGAGTTCTCCGACTCTTATCTTGTTTAGACACGGTCATAGTCAAAGTGGAGGTTCTCTCCTCCCTTCAGAGAAAGGCACCTCCCTCTTTGAAGACCTGTTCTTTCCACTGGGATCTCACTCACAGAGATCTTTTTGCCAGAGTGTCTTGGCTTTCCATGCCTGAAATACTCTCATGGGCTTTTCAGCCAGATCCGAGTGCCTTTAGGGCTGATTCTGAGGCCAGAGTGCTATTTAGGACATCCGCCATTCTATGAGTCTGCTGAGTATCTCACTTCCCATGTTGGATCACTCTCCCCTTTATTTATTCTATCGGTTGGTGTTAGCAGATACTAGACTTGTTTATGTGCTCCCTTTGACTCTTAGTCCTTTCATTATGATCAATTGTGAACTGAAATTGATCACTTGCAGTAGTGAGATGGCATTGGCACATGCCACCTTGATGGGATTGAATTGGAATCCCCTGGTATGTTTCCAACTCTACCAATTGGGGCAAGTCAGCCCGAGCATGCCCCAAATTATACATCTCTTCCCTCTCTTATTCCCACTCAGATAAGAGGTATATATTATGGAAGGTACAATGAAGAAAGTTGCAAGGTAGGTTGATAACACACAATGGAAATCTAGGCTTGGAATAGTTAGCTAAGATATACTGTATTTTCTAAGCAGTAAGGAATCGCAACATAGATTGATTAATGGTTTTCAGTGATCAGAAAAAGAGTTTCCAAATTTAGTTTTTAAAAAAGAGATCTATTTATTTATTTACTTGAAAAGCAGAGTTAGATCTTCCATCCTCTGGTTCACTCCCCAAATGGCTGCAACGTCAGGGCTGGGCCAGGCCAAAGCCACGAGCCTGGAACTCCATCCAGGTCTCCCACATGGGAGGAGGGACCCACGCGCTCCATGCATCTTCTGCTGCTCTACCAACTGCTTGAGCAGGGAGCTGGATCAGAGTGGAGCAGCCGGGACTCTATCCGGCACTCACATGAGATGCTGATGCCACAGGTCGCAGCTGAACCCGCTGTGCCATGATGCCAGCCCCAGGGTTTCCGTACCTAAAGTATACATTGCCAAGTGATGATTTAAAATTGAATTGTTTTGGCCGGCGCCGCGGCTCACTAGGCTAATCCTCCGCCTAGCGGCGCCAGCACGCCGGGTTCTAGTCCCCGTCGGGGCGCCAGATTCTGTCCCGGTTGCCCCTCTTCCAGGCCAGCTCTCTGCTGTGGCCCGGGAATGCAGTGGAGGGTGGCCCAAGTGCTTGGGCCCTGCACCCCATGGGAGACCAGGAGAAGCACCTGGCTCCTGCCATCGGATCAGCGCGGTGTGCTGGCCATAGCGCACCAGCCACGGCGGCCATTGGAGGGTGAACCAACGGCAAAGGAAGACCTTTCTCTGTCTCTCTCTCTCACTGTCTACTCTGCCTGTCAAAAAAAAAAAAAAATTGAAATCTGATCTTTGCTGCACCTGTACCTGTATCTTTATAGTTGCAATATTTACATCAAACAGCAAAATATTTTGTAATTTATACCAAAGGTGATTATTTTGATAATCAGTTGATTTAATCTGGAAAATGTTTTTACATTTAAGATTATTCATCATTCACATAAAATTACTGTAAGAAATATTTTGAAAACTGGTTTGAATTTTATTATTTAAATTTTACTGAGAGGGGCCAGCACTGTGGCGCAGTAGGTTAACGCCCTGGCTTGCAGCACTGGCATCCAATATGGATGCTGGTTCTAGTACCAGCTACTCCTCTTCCGATCCAGCTCTCTGCTATGGCTGGGATAGCGGTGGAGGTGGCCCAAGTCTTTGGGCTCCTGTACCCATGTGGGAGACCCAGATAGGGCTCCTGCTCCTGGCTTCAGATCGTCACAGCTCCGGTGGTTGTGGCCATCTGGGGAGTGAACCAGCGGATGAAGACCTCTCTCTCTGTCTCTCCCTCTCTCTGTAAATCTGTCTTTCAAATAAAAAAAAAATTATTGAGAAAGGTAATGGTGTAAATCTGTCTTCCAGTCTATAGAGAAAAATTAAGACACCTTCATTCTTCATTAGTACTCTGTTTCTTATGATTAAGAACTATAGAATGGTAGTTGTTTTTATGTGTGTTGTGCATGGTTTTAGGGACTTAGAGATCTGCATGCGAAGTCTCGGGAGAGATTACAGACACAGATGCCCAAGAGCCAGGCAGGGCACATCAGCAGGAGCACACAGCTGCCACATTTCAGGACGGCTTTCCAGGTTAGGCCCTTGCGCTCCAGACACACCTGCGTGGCAAATTCAGTTCATAAGAAAGCAGTGGGTTCTCTTTTTCCTCTTTATAAAACATTGGCTCCTCACGGTGTATCTCTTGGTAGAGACGTAGTATTTTCCACTCCAGCACAATTCAACATGTCACCTGGTGACTGGCAAACGATAAAGTGTTTTAAAAACAGCCTCAGTCCACATCACATTTGTAAGTTGCCATCTTCCCGTTTGCAACCTCTGGTCTGCACCAGCAGGTGGCGCTCTTTTGCTTCGTTCTGCTAGATGACTAGGAGAGAACGTGAGACGCTGCTGCTCCTATAAACATCGTCCGCCCTAACTTTCTGTGCAGCTTCAGAAGTACCCATTTGTAAGGGAATGCAGGAAGGAAGAAAACAACATCTAGTTTCACGAAAACCCGGCAAGTGTCAGTGTGCAGCTGGGCAGGTGGCCCGCAGCCCCGGGAGCAGTGCAGGAAGAAGGCGGGGCAGGTGCACGAGGACGACAGCTTTCCAGCAGAAGCGAAAAGAGGAGGCCCCCGGCACACAGGGAGCGCTGCCTGTGCTCGGGAGGTGTTGGCCTCGGCCGCACTGAGCCTCCTCAGACCTGGATTGCCTGCTGCCTGCCGTGAGCTTGATGACGCGTGGTCTTGGGAGCCTGGTTTGCAGGAAAGAGAATCCCGTGAAACACGGAATACGGTTTACTCGAGAACAGCCGAAGCAGGCACGTTCAGGCTGCGCGCAGAGCCGTGGACGGTGGAGCCCCTCCGGACCGATCGTCCTGGGTGAGGGCGGGTGTGGCCTCGGGAGAGCGCTCTTCCTCCTGTAGACTCGGAGGGCGGCTTCATCCCACAGGTTGTAAGCGGACACGTCAGCGGGTTTTCGCTGTTCCCCCCATGTACTTGCTTCAGCTCCCTCTAAACTCTAACACTGATTTTAAGATTGAGGTCCTTTAATAGTTTTTTTTTTTTAGGTAACATAGCCATGTTAAAGGTGATTCTTGTTTTTGTGAAATTTTGTGTTCCGTTTACTGTGACTTCTCCCCCCTCCCTTAAAAAAAGATGCATTTATATATCTATTGTTCTGAAAGACTGAGTGATGCGGAGAGAGAGAGAGACAGCTCCCGCCTGCTAGGTCGGCAGCGCAGAGGAGCCGGACTCCAGCCAGGCTCAGCCACACCACAGCTCCACCCCGGTTCAGCCTTTCTGCTATGATTGGCTGTGCCCAAACTTTGCTTACTTGTGGTGTTACACAGCCTATCAGGTGTTTAGTGAACATTTCTTGTCTCCGGCTGCCTGTTTCCTGTGCCTGTGGATTTTTAAACACAATTGATGAAACTAATGAGATTATCTTTTCCATTCAGATTAGACAAGTTTCTGTAACTACCCCCAACTGTACTCAGCTTTATAGGCCATAAAGGAGAGATTCAGAATATCTTTCTAAACTCTTGTATTTGTTCATTTATGTAATTAGAAAAAATTAAATTTTCTTTACTACATGGGCATGATACTGTAGTGCCACCGAGTGGCCTTAAAAAGGAACTACAGTTTTAAAATTGAAAACAAGCTACTTTTACAAGTAATTCTATTTCCTAAAATTCTTCATAAGATAATTTTGAGCTCCTACTGTGTACAAAAGGTATTTGGCATTGCATTAATATCAAAAGAAGCCATGAATAGTCTTCATTGATCCTGTAGGATCTGTGGTTGTTTTTGTCATTAAGTGTAATTTTAAGCTGTTGTTAAAAAGAGAAAAACTGGAGGACAAAGTTACTGTGTGTAGGTTAAGCTGCTGCCTGCAACACCGGCATCCCAGGTGGGCACCAGTTTGTGTCCCAGCTGCCTGCTGTGGCCTGGGAAAGCAGCAGAAGATGGCCCAAGTGCTTGGGCCCCTCAACCCATATGGGAAACCCAGAAGAAGCTCCTGGCTCTTGGCTTTGGCCTGGCCCAGCCATTTATTGTGGCCATTTAGAGAGTGAACCAGTGGATGAAAGATAGTGTCTGTTTGTCTCTCTCCATATCTCTCTCTCTCTTTTTATAATTCTAGCTTTTAAATAAATAAATATATCTTAAAAAGGGGGGGGATTTTAAACTGATATCTGAAAGGGAAAAATAACCCTAAATCTATGATTAGGGAAATTTATTTTTTAAACTAACTTATAGACACTGTATCTGGATAGCTTTTAGGTAAATAGAGAAATAACTGTCACATCATTTATTATAGTTAATTTTCTTTACTGCTGGCTCCTTACCAACAAATACCCTTGCATTATTGCCTACTTATATTTTCAGTAGTACTACTGTATTTTATAATGTATATGGGCTGTGAAAATGGATATTTGTCAGAAACTTTTAGGAAAATATTAGTTTGAGGGGCAGGTATTGTTGAACAGTGGGTTAAGCTGCTGCGTAGAAAGCTGGCATCCCCTGTCAGTGCTGGTTCCAGTCCCGGCTGCTCCATTTCTGATCCAGCTCCCTGCTAATGCACCTGGGAAAGCAACGGAAGCTGGCCTAACTCCTGAGGCCCCTGCCCCCACCTAGGAGATCCAGATGGATTTCCAGGCTCCTTGCCTCCGCCTTGCCCAGCCCTGGTTGCTGGAGCCATCTGGAGAGTCAGCCAGTGGATAAGATTTATCTCTCTCTCAATCTCTTTCTCCCTGTGTTGCTCTTTGTTTCAAATAAATAAAAATATTTTTAAGAAAAATTATTTAAGAGACAGAGTGCACTTTCATTCCCTGACTCACTCCCCAAATGCCTGGGGTAGCCAGAGCTGGGCTCTGCGTAAGTCAGGAACTGGGAACGCAGCCCAGGTTGGTGGGTAGCAGGGACTCAGTCACTTGGCCCAGCACTGCTGCCTCTCGGGTCTGCATTAGAAGGAAGCTAAAGTCGGGAGCAGAGCCGGGCGTGCACCCAGGCTCTCCTGTGTGGGACGGGGCTGTCCTAACCACTGGGCTCAGTTCCTGTGCTAGAAAGCTTTTTAATTTGTGACTTGCCTTTTATTAATAATGTAATTTCTATTGTTGATATGCCTGAGTGTATAATGGAAGATAAAATTTGAAGATATAATTTCTCAGTTTCATCCTCAATGATTTACAGTGTTAGAAGTATCAGGGTTCCATTGCATTGACAGAGTCTGTCATAGTTTACCTAACATTTTAAAAATGGACAGAGGTAGGAAGGGCCCTTGCAGTGGCTGTGCCTCGAGCTGCGTGTAAGGCCGTGTTTCCTGCCTGTTACAGGAGCCATGTCTGCTTGGCTCCTTCTCAGCTGAACCAGTGAAAGCTTAAAAAGGTCCAGCTAGAGATGAATAGGGCTTCGTTTCTCCCTGGTTTTTATTTCCTATTGTGTCACTTCTGTTAGGAACTAACTGTGAATTTTATTTGCTGAGGGGGGAAAATAAGGTTTAGAAGGATTAAATAAATGCCTGCTCCAAATGTAACCTTGAGTTTTTGTTACATTGCTTATTATTGCTAGTTATTTTTTGTGATCTTGGTAGAAGCAATTATGAAATTACTGGCTTGGATAGTTCAGACTTAGTAGAGTAAAAATGAACTTGAGAATCCTATTAGCCTTTCTTAAAGTTTAATTTTTATTTATGAATTAAGTTAGCATGTAGATGAAAAATACATCTTATATATGTGTATACATATATACATACAGGTGTGTGTGTGTGTATGACTACCTAAGATGAAATATTTAATAGAATAGATCCCAAAAGTAAGGATTTTATCAGTTTTTTCTATTACAAAAGTTTTCTTAGCCTGTGGCTCCTGAGTCTAACATACTGTTGATGCAGATTCTGGGAGGCAGCATGATGGCTCCAGTCGTTGGGTTCCACTCGTGTGGGAGACCGGGTTGTTTCTGGGTTCAGCTTTGGCTTCTGTCAGCAGGGAGTGATGGGAGTGAGCTGGTAGTTTTCTCTCTCTCAAATATTGGAATAACATTTAACTATTAAATATTTAATAGCAAAGTAATTACAGATTAATAAAATTAGAAAATGTTGCTTTGAAAAGTTTTCTTTAGATTGTTTTATTTTTATTTAAAAAATGCTTGACTTTGGAAAATAAAATATAGCACTAATATATAACATTTAATAATAATACCTTGTCCCTACTTTATGTGCATCCTTTTTCTATACTATAAGCTTCTTTGAAACAACCTGATTACAAAATCATCCTTTTAAATTGTCCTCATTTTTTATCATAGAAAAAGTTACGCCGATCACAACATGCTCGCAAAGAGACAGAGTTCCTGCGGCTCAAGAGGACCCGGCTTGGCCTCGATGACTTCGAGTCTCTGAAAGTGATAGGAAGAGGAGCTTTCGGAGAGGTGTGTTTCTTCTTGGCCCCACTGCTGCTGGCAGTGTGTCTCAGGACGGCTGGAGCAGCTTCTGGGGTTGGCGTTTAGCCCAGTGGTTGAAGTGCTGGTCGAGACGCCCACGTCCCACACGGAGCTGCTGGGTGGAGTCCTGGCTCCGCTGCTGACGCCAGCCTCCTGCCAGTGCAGATCGGGGAGGAAGCAGGTGATGGCTCGTGTAACCGGGTCCCTACCACCCGCCTGGAAGACCTAGATTGAGTTCCAGGCCCCTGGCTGCACCTCCTGTGGGCATTTGGAGAGTGAACCAGCAGATGAGGGCTGGCTTACTCTGTCCTCCTGTGTCTGTCTGTCCCTTTGCCTCTCAAGTTAAAATACGTGCATTTATTTGCTTATATGCACTTTCCTATATGTAATCATTTATTTTATTTTATTTTTTTTAAATATGTATACATTGCTACTTTCCCCTTGACTTCAATGGTAGTGATTGTTTAACAGTGATAATCAGTTATTTTTTATTCCAGGTACGACTGGTCCAGAAGAAAGACACAGGCCACATCTACGCAATGAAGATACTGAGAAAGGCCGATATGCTTGAAAAAGAGCAGGTGTGGTCTCCTTAACACATGGCATGCAGCGGGACATCCACTGGCCAGGTGTTAGAGCAGGTGTTTAGATGGGGAGTTTTAAAAAGCAGTAACCTCCTATTATATGACCTGTTAATATTTTGATAGCTTGCTTTAGTGTTCCTCAGTTCTGTTATTTAAAATTTCTTCCAAATTTATAGCCTTTGTATTGGTCTGCTCAGGCTGCCGCATCAGAATCCCACAGGCTGGGTAGCTTAAGCAGCAGAAATGTACTTTCCCAAGTCCTAGAGGTGTGAGATGGCTGCCTCTGCCGTGTGCTCACGTGGGAAGTCCCTGGGGCCTCCTCTTGCGAGGACACGACCTCCAGCCCTGTGATCTCACTGACCCTTTACTTTCCTGGGGCCTCCTCTCCACACAGAGCCACACCGCGGGGCTGGGGCTTCACCATGTGAGCACTGGGGAGACACAGGTGTTCAGTCCATAATAAAAGACCCCCTTTTCTGAGTCCTGTGAAAATAAGGAACAGTTCTTAGCATACCTGGTCCCTGTCACCTGTCAAAGAAGCAAAACCGTTCTGAGAATTCGCCTATTCTTCACACCTACTCAAATCCATGACTACTTTTCCTGTATTCTTGGGCTCTTTCCCTGTTTCCTGTGGCTTCATGCCTGCACTTGAAAGCACCCCTTGTGTGTTTGCTGTGTTCCCCTGTAGTTCCCGTGTGGGAGGACACTGTAGTGTGTGCATGAGCACCTGCTCTAGTGGAGTACTAGGCTGTGGAGGGTGGCCTGCCTCTGCTCCTCATGCCTTGTCCTAGTCCCCACTGCAGCACATGGCACTGGTTGTTACTGGACTGTGACTGCAGGATTTTCACTGCACCCGTTAACTTTGTTACTTCAGTAATTCAGCAAGCATGCATTGGATGCCTGTGGTGTACCGAGTGTTGTAGGTGCTGGGATACAGCAGTTACCAAAACAAACCTGGTCCTGCTGTCATGTGATGGTAGAGAAAAGAGACAGCCATTTGCAGGTTGTCATGATTGATAAGCAGTGTGCAGAATGTTGTTTAGAAGGACAAGGTGATCTACATGAGCTGGGTTTAACAGGAAGAATTAGATCTGGGAGGAAATAATTAATGAGAATGTGGGTAATGAGGAAGAATGACATGGGGAGGTCTGGTAGAACAGAGGCCCGGGTGCCAAAGACAGAGCCCCAGGCAAGAACAATCTTGGCCTTCTCTGAGAGGAGAAAGAAACCTTCGGGGCTGGCAGGGTGGAGGGAGGAACGACCGGAGGGTAGCAGGAGAGGCAGGCGGGCCAGCACACGGGACCAAGAAAGAGCAGCTTCTCGTTATCGTAGAGGGGAAGAAAGAACGCAGTGTCGTGGAAGCCACGAGGAGAGGCCGGAGCAGGCAGTGGTCCGCTGCGGCCAGTGCTCCCAAGACAGACCACGAGGAGAGGCCGGAGCAGGCAGTGGTCCGCTGCGGCCAGTGCTCCCAAGACAGACCACGAGGAGAGGCCGGAGCAGGCAGTGGTCCGCTGCGGCCAGTGCTCCCAAGACAGACCACGAGGAGAGGCCAGAGCAGGCAGTGGTCCGCTGCAGCCAGTGCTCCCAAGACAGAGCAAGAAGGGCACTGTGCACCGATTTCCTGACATGGAGATGTTGAGTGACTTGCCAAGGGGCGCTGCGGTGGGTTGGAAGGCAGAAGTCTCGACGCAGTGGTAGAGGGCAGAGTGGAAGCCACAAATGGAGAAAGTGAGTAGAAGTGGAGAAAGAGTAGAGGCAGAGGAAGCAAGTATGGATAAATGCTTCGTGTGAAGCAGGACAAGGAGTCGACTGACACAGGGAAATTTAATCAAAAGGAGGTGGGTTTTGTTTTTTGGTTTTTGTTTTTTATTTTTCCCCCTTAAGACAAGAACTGACTCAGTGCTGATGGGAGGAATTTATTAGAAAGGGAAAAACTAAAGATGCAAGAAAGAGAGGGGAGATAATGACAGGAGTAATTATTAAAGATGGAGGAGCAGAGACATAAAAACGGAGGAAAACCGAGTAAAATGGGAACAACCTCAGGGCGCTGGAGATGGCATTCAGAAGTTCCATGTTCCTGCCTGAGTGGAGATGAGTGAGGGCATCAGCCTCAAGTAAAGGAAGCGGGGAGGGCTTACTGGAGACGTGAAGACAGAGGAGCTGTGAAATGTCATCCGGAAGTGTGGGAAGGCAGCCGTGGCAGGGAGGTAGAGGTGAGTGCCCACGGGATTGGCAGCCATGCATTGAGAGTACAGTAGACGGTCCGGTAACCTTAGCCTGGTTTCAGGTTGGGTGAGAAGGTGATAGGAACTATTGAGAGCTTGGTAGGGGGCCAGGGTTATAAGCAACTTTGTTGATGTCACACTGGTTCCAGAGGGAAGAAATGTAGAGAGCAAGGAATGCTGAGAGAGTGATTTGGTTTATGGGTAAGATAATGATTAGAGTAAGGGCATGGGTTGAAGACGGAAAGCCTCAGAGACCAGGGGAGTTAAGTGGAATCTAACTTACCAACAGTGGGATTTGTCCTGGATAGGGTGTAAGAGAAAGGACAAAAGGTAGCAGGCAGTTCAAGCTATAATCCAGCTACTGGCCACGTGTGGCTGAATTGTAGCTGGGCTGCAGGAGCTGTGCTGTGAATGTCAAATAGATACCAAGTGCAGACACGCTGCCCTCCAAAAGCACAGACATCATTTTTGTATTGCTTATATATTGAAGTACTGTTTGAATTATGGGGTTACATAAAGTAGTATTAATATTAACTAGACCTGTTTGCTTTTACTTTGTAAAAGTACTCTTCTACTTCCAAAAGAGTAATCTGCAGCTTGAATCATGTTTGTATTGGATAGCCCTGGTCTAGAACCTTTGGCCAGGCTTTGAGGAGCCTTGGGGCCACTGTTCTTGTCCTGTGAAGGGGCAGTCTCCCCGTGAGTCCAGCATCCAGTCCCTTTTACCTTTTGAGTTTGTTCCCCCCAGCCCTTGTAAGCTAATCTGCATTCATTTTAGAAAACCTTTTCCTATTCTAGTCTGTTAGTATTTTACATGTTAGCACGTGTACCGGGATGGTAACCACCCCACACGATTGAAGAGCTGCAGTGTGCCTGCTCTTGTGGTAGCAGATGACTGTACGTCCTCTGTGGAAACTGGATTTCCACATGCAGAAGCATGAAGCAAGACCCCTAGCTTACACCTCACAGAATCCACTCAACATGGATTAAAGATCTAAATCTACGACCCGACACGATCAAATTATTAGGGAACATTGGAGAAACCCTGCAAGATACAGGCACTGGCAAAGACTTCTTGGAAAAGACCCTAGAGGCACAGGCAGTCAAAGCCAAAATTAACATTTGGGATTACATCGAATTGAGAAGTTTCTGTACTGCAAAAGAAACAGTCAGGAAAGTGAAGAGGCAACCGACAGAATGGGAAAAAATATTTGCAAACTATGCAACCGATAAAGGATTAATAACCAGAATCTACAAAGAGATCAAGAAACTCCACAACAACAAAACAACCCACTTAAGAGATGGGCCAGGGACCTCAATAGACATTTTTCAAAAGAGGAAATCCAAATGGCCAACAGGCACATGAAAAAATGTTCTTGATCACTAGCCATCAGGGAAATGCAAATCAAAACCACAATGAGGTTTCACCCCATCCCAGTAAGAATGGCTTACATACAGAAATCTACCAACAACAGATGCTGGCAAGGATGTGGGGAAAAAGGCTCACTAATCCACTGTTGGTGGGAATGCAAACTGGTAAAGCCACTATGGAAGACAGTTTGGAGATTCCTCAGTGTGGGGAGCAATCCGGACTAGACTAAGTTACTCGAATTAAGACTTATTCTATGCATCTGCTCTCCTCTGTGGGGAGCAGCTCGGACTAGACTGTTACTGGAATTAAGACTTATTCTATGCATCTGCTCTCCTACAATATGGCGCTGGGAGAGGAGAAAACAGCTTCCGCACAGCTGCCTCCAGTTCAACCAATTAACTGTAGGACTTGCTCCTGATTGGAGAGCAGCGTACTCGGCGTGTGGGCAGCCGAGTTGGGATTGGCGGAGGAGGACTATAAAGGAGGAGAGAGACGGCATGCACCGGGAACATCTATGGGGAACATCTAAGGGGAACACCTGTGCAGCCCCCGAGAAGAGCCGGCCGGCGGTGTGCCGCTCCCCTGCGGAAGTGGGGAATGCGGCCAGGGGGAACTGCCCTTCCACGGAGGTGGAAGGGATAGTAGCCAACCCGGGAAGAACCAGCAGCAAACCCGGGGAGGGCCGAGCAGACGAAAAGAACAGCGCAGGGTCCTGTGTCGTTCCTCCACGAAGAGGGGGAGCGACACCTCAGAAACCTGAATATAACCCTACCACACGACCCAGCCATCCCACTCCTTGGAATTTACCCAAAGGAAATTAAATTGGCAAACAAAAAAGTTGTCTGCACCTTAATGTTTATTGCAGCTCAGTTCACAATAGCTAAGACATGGAATCAACCTAAATGCCCGTCAATAGAAGACTGGATAAAGAAATTATGGGATATGTACTCTATAGAATACTATACAGCAGTAAAAAACAGTGAAATTCAGTCATTTGCAACAAAATGGAGGAATCTGGAAAACATCATGCTGAGTGAAATAAGCCAGTCCCAAAGGGACAATTATCATGTTCTCCCTGATTGGTGACAACTAACTGAGCACCTAAAAGGAAACCTGTAGAAGTGAAACTGACACTATGAGAAGCAATGATTTGATCAGCCCTTGTCCTGACTGTCAAGGAACAGCATACTATTTTATTCTTTGTAGTATTTTCTTTTTCTACTTAATACCATTAGTTGAACTCTTTACTTAACAGAATTATTCTTAGGGGTTTAAACCCAACTTAAAATTGATCCCTGTTAAAAATAAGAGTGGGAATAAGAGAGGGAAGAGATGTACAGTTTGGCACACACTCCCTTGGACTTAACCCTAAGGGTGAAGCTAAAAACTTGCCATGGGAATCCAAATCCCATTAAGTTGGCAGATGTCAATGCTATCTTACTTATTAAAGTGATCAGTTTAAGTTCATAACTGATCATAAAGATAGGATTAAATGTCAAAGGGATCACATAAATAAGACCAGTGTCTGCTAATAATAATTGATAGAATTAAAAAGGAGAAAATGATCCAACATGGGAAGCAGGATACACAGCAGACTCATAGAATGGCAAATGCTCTAAACAGCACTCTGACCTCAGAATCAGCCCTTAAGGCATTCGGATCCAGCTAAAAAGCCCATGAGAGCATTTCAGGCATGGAAAGCCAAGACACTGTGGCAAAAAATAACCTAAATGAAGGATCTCTGTGAGTGAGATCCCAGTGGAAAGAAGGGGCCATCAAAGAAGGAGGTACTTTTCTCTGAAGGGAGGAGAGAACTACTTTGCATATGGCCTTGTCTAAATATCAACAGAGTCTATAGACTCAAGAGGCTTCCATAGCCTTGGCAGCTCATGACAAGAGCCTCAGGTGATTACTGATGTCAAAAATTAGAGTGTCAATTGTTAAATCAACAACAGGAGTCACTATGCACTTGCTTCCCATGTAGGACCTCTGTCCTTAATGTGTTGTACTTTAAGAATTAATGGTAAATCCAATCTTTATGCAGTACTTTATGCTTTGTGTGTCTGTGTGGGTGCAAACTGTTGAAATCTTAGTATAGAGTTGATCTTCTATATAAATATAATTAAAAATGAATCTTAATGAAGAATGGGTTAAGAGAGGGAGTAGGAGATGGGATGGTGAAAAAAAAAATCATGGTGGATTTATGATGTGGTTGTTTCTCCTGAAAACACCAGGTACAGCACCAGAAGTTCAGGGCTTTTCCTTTATCATTTTCAAATGCTGTCTAAAAGGGAATTGCTGCCACTTTTCCCTTAATGAAACAGACCCAGAGACTATAATGCTTTTTGATGCCAGAAAATATATTCTTACCCTGTGACTCCTGAGCTTGGATCTCAGAGCTTTCAGGGCACTGTGCAATAGTGCAGTAATCCCAGACACGATATTTTAAGCAGATCCTATTTTATTGTCATGAAAAGATTTATAAATCTGTATTCTCCTGTGATGTGGGTCAGAGTTCATCATGGTGCTTACTGAAAATTACATGAGCTTCAAATAAAACATGACAGTTAATCTGTGAAGAAAGAATGTAGGAATATGTTCATGCAAAAGCACCTGAAACCTGACCAGTTGAACCAATCCCAGACGTTACTCAGTTTACAGAATTTTCTAGTCTGTGAAATTTTCACACACTATTATCTCTAGTAATCCCTACTCTGACAAATCATTAGCAGAACTCTCAAAACTTAATTTTTAGTTGTTGATGTTTATAGATAATATAGAGAATTTTTAATACTTCCTATAAAGTTTTTATAAACTTTCTACTTTTTAAAAAACACAAAAAGCTAGCTCAACCTTTTGTGTAGCAGTTAATCCTAGTTTGCTGTTTTTAGCAAGCTTTGTCTTTTGCATACCAGTTTATAGATGATTAATTTCTACATGTAACATTTAAAGCCATACTAGTACCTTAAGTTTATATGACGAAGCTAGGGTCATTGCTGAGTGGAGGTTTTGGTTGGAAAGTTTTGAGATTAGTCATTGCCCTGTGTGAGAGGCCTTGGGTGTTCATCCCACCTTTTCAGGACTGAAGATGTAGAGTACCCCCAGACAGACCTGGAGCACCTTAGGAAGGAGTTTAATGAGAATAGGAACACACGTAGATCTTTCAGGTGTTTTCTAGAACTCCAGCTTCACTTCATGACTGTTCTGGGTGAATAATTTGTAACATACACGCTTAAGAAATACATCATGTGTTACAATTTTTTTTTTTCACAATATATTCACCTAGGTGGCCCATATCCGAGCAGAGAGAGATATTTTGGTAGAAGCCGATGGCGCCTGGGTGGTGAAGATGTTCTACAGCTTTCAGGATAAGAGGAATCTTTATCTAATCATGGAATTTCTTCCTGGAGGTAACAGAGAACATGGTAGCAATGACAGATGCTTTTCAAAAACGTAATAGTAATGTTAGTGATTGGGTTTACTTTTATGTTCCTAGCTCTGAGGTTTTATAGTCAGTCATAATTTTTCAGTATTTACTTTCAGAATAATGGTCATTTTGACCACAAATGAGATTATTTTGAAGCAGTGATAGTTGGCACGTTTTAAGTACTAACATTCTGGGTTCACTGTATGTAACTAGATTGTTATATGTCAAGAGTTAAGAAAATTGAGTCAATAAACAAGAAGATAAACAGCTCAGTGGGCAAAGGATAAGACAAGGGAAAGAAGAGAAACTCTGGCTGGTCTACCAAAAAGACTGTGTGTGCTTAGAAACCTTTCCCACATGTGTGCTTGGAGTCCTGTGAAAGGGTTCTCATGGTAGCATTGTCACTGAAAACTTGGATGCAAGATGGGTGCCCATCAGTAGAAGAATGGAGAAGTAAATCCAGGCATAGTGATATGATGGTTCACTCCCCAGCTAGCCACAACGGCTAGGCTGGGCCAGGCAGAAGCCAGAAGCCTGGAACTCTGTCTGTGTCTTCCGCGTGGGTAGCAAGGGCTCAAGGACTTGGGCCGTCTTCTGCTGCTTTCCCAGGTGCACTAGCAGGGAGCTAGATTGGAAATGGCAGCAGCTGGGACTGCAAATGGTGGGCATCACAGTTGACAGCTTGCTAACCCACTGCACCGCAATGCTGGCCAATGAGGGTATTGTTAATTTAAACTATTTTCCTCTTAGGCAGCTTACTGTGGGTGTTGAGTGGGGATGTTTCTTCCTTGAGCTCTGCTCTGATTGGATTTCACATACTTTCCATTTTAAAAACCATTAAATATTGTAAAACTTTGGCTTATGTAATGACTGCTATTCAGTCTCAAAGCTGGTTGGAGGTATACTGGGGGATCCCAATTGCTTAAACACAAAGAGCTTTTACAGTATGTAATTAACATGACGCTTCCCTTACTTAGGTGACATGATGACATTGCTAATGAAGAAGGACACCTTGACAGAAGAGGAGACCCAGTTCTACATTTCAGAGACTGTTCTAGCCATAGATGCAATCCACCAGTTAGGCTTCATCCATCGGGATATTAAACCAGACAACCTTCTGTTGGATGCCAAGGCATGTGAATAAACTGCATTATTCGGTGCCGCTCGTTCAGTAGAGCTGCCTGGGAGTGGGCAGCTACAGCTTAGGCTATTGCTGAACTACATCACTTCATAGCGGGGTGCAGGAAGAGGGCTTGCGAGAGAAATGACGTCATGCGGATGGGCTGCCCTGTTACTCCACTTTCTACTCTTTATAGTTTTACCTTTCACCTGTAGGAATTCCACACTAAGAGTCTTTTACAGTAATTGCCATTAAAAGAGGAACTTCTAAAAGTCTTTTTGTTCTCAAAATTAATGTAGTCCCCTGATTTTTTGCTGGATATCTTTTGTTTTAGGGTCATGTGAAATTATCTGATTTTGGTTTATGCACGGGGTTAAAGAAAGCTCACAGGACTGAATTCTACAGAAATCTCACACACAACCCACCAAGTGACTTCTGTAAGTTTGATTTCCTTTTCTGGTTAAAATATTACAGCTGGTTTAATCCAGCCCTGGCTAGAACCGAAGATTCTATCTCTTTACTTCCTCATTCCCTCAATGTACCAGTGTGTTTTGGATGTACAAGGGTCCTTCAAAAAGTTTGTGGAAAATGGATTTAAATGGTAAGTTTGGGGCTGGCATTGTGGCACAGCAGGTTAAGCTGCCACTTGTGTTGCTGCTGGCATCTCTCTCTTTTTTTTTTTTTTTTTTTTTGACAGGCAGAGTGGACAGTGAGAGAGAGACAGAGAGAAAGGTCTTCCTTTGCCGTTGGTTCACCCTCCAATGGCTGCCGCACTGCTGCGGCCGGTGCACTGCGCCAGGAGCCAGGTGCTTCTCCTGGTCTCCCATGAGGGTGCAGGGCCCAAGCACTTGGGCCATCCTCCACTGCACTCCCAGGCCACAGCAGAGAGCTGGACTGGAAGAGGGGCAACCGGGACAGAATCCGGCGCCCCGACCAGGATTAGAACCCGGGGTGCCGGCACCACAGGTGGAAGATTAGCCTAGTGAGCCGCGGGGCCGGCCAGCATCTCATATTGAAGTATTATTTTGAGTCCAGGCTGCTCTGCTTGCAGTCCAGCTTCCTGTAATGTTCCCAGGAAGGCCACAGATGATGATCTGCATGGAGCTCCTGGCTGCTGGCTTGAGCGGGCCCAGCCCTGGCAGTTGCAGTATTTGGGAAGCAAACCAGCATGTGGTTTCTTATCACTCTGCCTTCCAAATAAATCAATTTAAATATATGTATGTATATATATATGTATATAGGTATACGTTTATTTTGGAGTAGACGTTTTTTGAAGTTCATGCATAGTTGATTGTCCATCAGCTATTTGAAGTACCCTTGTAGATGTGTCATTTTGGATTTTGATGAGAGTTTTCCTCCCTTGATGACAGTCTGTTTTGTTGAAATTAGCTTTTCAGAACATGAATTCAAAGAGGAAAGCAGAAACATGGAAGAAGAACAGGAGACAACTGGTGAGTCAGCTATGTTTTTAAGAAAGAATTTTGTGTCCTTGTCCCCGAATCCCATGTGGCTTTTTTCCTGATTATCTGGTATCTTTATAATGATTAGGATGATAGAGCTGGTTCTGGAACCACACAGTTTCCTTAGTTTTCGGCAAAGGGAACTGTTGATGTTGACTTTGTAGCTTACTGTAGAGGATGCCTTGTGGCTGTCAGTGAATAGCTGAGCTGTGCGCGTACAGTGAGTCTCACCAATGAGGGCAGCTGCAGGTTCCAGTGCTCCGTCCCTGTGGTATGAGTCCTTACAGACCCGGTACAAGTGAGGTGGTTGCGAGTTTCTAAGAACTTCTTTATAGATAAAGTAAACAGGAAGTTTGGAATGTCAGCAGTGTTACAAGTGATAGATAAAATACAGTTTGGAAGCAGACTTTACCTTAGATGAGCTTAATTCCTCCTGTAATGTAGACGTACACTATTTTTAACTCCATGCCATTTCCCACCTATTATTTAGCAAATACAAGAGTTGCTTCCCCTTTTTCCTGCTTCCCTTTATCTTGTTAACTAGGTCCTTGACCATTCTTAAGGTTAGGAATGAACTTTTAACTTTGTTTTCCTAATTTCTGGTCTAGCACCCGCACACTTAAGTGCTCCCTAAGCATTTGCTCAGCATTCCTTCAGAAAGTGAACGATGACCACTCCTAGTCCAAGGCCTCCGCAGCCACTGGCTGTGGCCTTGGCATTGTGCTGCCTAGTCTTTGATTAGCCAAAGGATTGCAGATTTCCTGTGCCTATCAAACAGCATTACGCGGTTTCCAAAATGTGTAGAGCTATGCATTGGGGGATAAACTTTGTCCTACTTTTAAATGTGTCACTTTTAGATCAGATTTTAACATTGAGAAAATAATTACAGCATCTCCTCTTAAAGGGAAAAAAAATGAATACTGCTGAAAACTGTGGTGGGAATTCTCTGCCTCCCTTTACTGAAGAGTCCCAGGTATTGCTCGTCTGTGTGCTTTCCTAGTCTCGCGGCCCAGAGCCCCAGGCCTTGAACAGTGCTCCCAGGAGATGCGGAGGGGACTCGATACTGGAGGCAGGACACTTCTTAGCACCTGTTTCCATGCACACTAAATGCCAATCATGTCATCCCCCAGATCACTGAGGTGACAGAATCTGTCACACGCTCTCAAATGGCCCCCAGAGGGTTAGCCCCGTGGAGAGCTACTGTCTCAAAGAAATAATTTTTCTAAGACTTTATATGAATTAAGAATGAAAGACTGCGTCATTTCCTGATGGAAAAGCAATGTGTGGGAATTCAGTTCATGATGCAAATACCTGGCGCTTCCATGGTGGTCTGCATTTCACAGAGCTCAATCCCTTTGTCCATTCATCCTCATGTCAGCTCTTTCAGGACAGGTGGCATTGCTCCAAATCTGTGTAAGCAGAAACTGAGACTCCGAGAGGATGGCTAACTTACCAACACAGTGGTAGTGAGTGGGGAAGCCAGGCCTGCTGTTTGCACTGGGCTTAGGACTACATTTACAAATGAGCGAGTGGAGCTTCCCCGGGGGGCGCACTCATGTATTCTGTCACCTAGAGACTGGGCTCAGGGCTTACCACTGAGCCTTACACGTGCTAAACATGCGGAGTCCTTATTAAATGAAAAATGAACTTCTATATATCTATATCTGTCTATCTATATATATCACCTTTTCTGGTAGCAGGCATACTCAGAGATGGCAAAAACCACAGTATGAGTGCAGGTTTGACACGCTGCTCCTTTGTAGGCGTATTCCACAGTTGGGACGCCAGATTACATTGCTCCGGAAGTGTTCATGCAGACTGGCTACAACAAGCTGTGTGACTGGTGGTCCCTGGGCGTGATTATGTATGAAATGCTAATAGGTATGTGTTATCGTTCATTTATGCACATATTCTATACATTTCCTTATCTCACTGGAACATGTATGGCAGATATCCTGAACTCTTGTAAACCTATATCTGAGTTTTCCAGTGCTCAATATAAACTGATAAAAAAAAGGGGGGGTGGGGCTGGGCGTTTGGCCCAGCAGTTAAAACACCCATATCCAACATTGGAGTCCTGGGTGTGATACCAGCTCTGGTTCCTGACTTCAGTTTCCTGCCATTGCAGACCGTAAGATGTAGCAGTGATGGCTCAAGTAATTGGGTTCCTGTCACCCACGTGGGAGACCAGGATTGAGTTTTGAGCTCCCAACTTTGGCGTAGGACAGCACTGGTTGTGGCTGGCATCTGGAAAGTAAACCAACAGATGAAGGCTTTCTCTGTCTCTCAAATAAATTAATAAATAAAGGAGCAGTACTTTAAATCCTTTATTAATTTCAGTAGCATTTTTTTCTTAAAGATGTATTTATTTATTACTTGAAATGCAGAGTTACAGGGAGGCAGAGAGAGAGAGAGAGAGAAGTCTTCCTTCCATTATTTTACTCCTCAACTAGCCGCAACGGCCAGAGATGTGCCGATCTGAAGCCAGGAGCCAGGAGCTTCTTCCAGGCCTCCCGTGTGGATGCCGGGTCCCAAGGACCCAAGCCATCTTCTGCTGCTTTCCCAGCCATAGCAGAGAGCTGGATTGGAAGTTGAGCAGCCAGGACTCGAACCGGCACCCATTTGGGATGCCAGCACTGCAGGTGGTGGTTTTATCCTCTACGCCACAGTGCTGGCCCCTCAGTAGCAATTTTGCTATAAATCGGGGAATGGAGGCCCTTCTGATGGTTATGCAAAGCGTGCAGGTCACTTTTGCTGGTGGCGCTCGTTCAGGGGTGTAACTTAATTAATTGGTCACCGAAGCTGAGGAGGCTTTCTGCCGTTTGGTCTGTAGGGTATCCACCGTTCTGCTCCGAAACACCTCAGGAAACATACAGAAAAGTGATGAACTGGAAAGAGACGCTGGTGTTTCCTCCAGAGGTCCCCATCTCGGACAAAGCCAAGGACCTAATTCTCAGGTCAGTAGCCAAGTTCCTGGGAGAGGCCGGGGTGGCTTAGCATGTCACGGTACCCACAAGACCCATCCCACGTTTGTCGGGGACTCCACTGATCTACGCAGCCCAGGCCAGCAAGGAATGGGTGTTCGTAAAAGCGTGAACTCCCGAAATATGCAGAAAGTGCAGAAGAGGAGTCTTGTCAGTTACCAGAACACACACACACCTGTTAGCTCTGAGAGACGGACAGCGTCGTAATGCTTTAAAGTGAAATGTCTTACATTCCTGGAGTCTCTAGGTGTAACTAATGTGGTGGCTTCTCTGTTTCCATGTTCTAGATTTTGTGTTGACTCTGAAAATAGAATTGGAAATAGCGGAGTAGAGGAGATAAAAAGTCATCCCTTTTTTGAAGGTGTGGACTGGGGGCACATAAGGTATGCGGCTGGGCTGTGAGCGGGAGAGGTCTGGGTGAAGCAGGATGGAGGAGTTCGTTTGCCTTGATTCTGTGTATCAGATACAAGAAGTAGTGTTGGGAAGTCAAGTCGGTGTTTCCTGGCCTGTGTGAGTGAGTGAGACTAGTGGCTACAGCTGACGCACCATCGCAGGCTGATGGCGTGCTAAGGGAAGAAGCACACACCGTGCAGTGGATGGGCTCTTGAGGAGTGCTTAGTGAGGGCCGTGAACCCCTGCAGGCGTGTCTGCGTCTCACACTGTGACCCTGTCTCTCTCACTCACAGTGAGCTACAGCTCTATTGGACTGCAGGAGCAAGGTTAAGTATGCAGTCGCTTTGAAGAATGGCTTCTGGTTGTTCGTCGTGAGCTTTGGCCTTTTCTCATTTATGGTTGAACTACCTGCAGCCGCCTTTTCTGCCCGTGGCACCAGCTAGAAACATGAATCCGGTGGTGCCATTTCCCCTTTCACATAGCCCAGGAGCTGCTTTCTTAGGCTGTGGGCTGTGCTCCTCCCATGGGGACACGGTGCATCTTACAGGGCCTGGCCTGCTCCTCCCGCCCTCACGGTTTGGGGCTACTGTTCATTCCAGATGAGGTGCTCTTCTCTTCCCAGCCCTCGCCCCTGCCTCGCCCCTGGCCCTGCCTTACCAGCTCCTTTTTCACCTTTCTTCACTGGGTCATTCCCCAAGTAGCTTCAGTGGTTGCAGCTGGGCCACACTGAATCCGGGAGCCAGGAACTCCATCTGGGTCTCCTACATGGGTGACAGGGGCCCAAGCACTTGGGCCAGCTTCTGCTGCTTTCCCGGGCCCATCAGCAGGGAGCTGGATCAGGAATAGAGCAGCGAGAACTCTAACCAGCACTCCAGTTTGGGATGGTGGCGTTGCAAGCAGTCTTAACCTGTGGTCCCATGATGCCGCCCCTCCTTTGCACCTTCCAGGCTGCCTGTGTGCCACTCCCTCGGTGCAGGTTTGCACTGCCGAGCCTGCTAGGTCCTTCTAGCTATACAGTTAATAGCCAATACGAGGTAGTGCCAACAAAAGTGTATGGGAAATGGAATTAAAAGATAAGGTTATTTTGGTGCAGAAACCATTTGGAAATCCATGCGTAGGTTTTTGATACTGTATATTTTCCATGAACTTTTGGAAGACTCCCCCTAATTTTTGATCATTAGTTGTGTGTCCATCTGTGTTCTTAAGAACATCACTTGGATTTCTCACCACATCCTCAGGATAAGCCCTGTAAAGTAGGAGCAGTTAGGAGCAGTATTTTACTGCTGAGAGAAACAAGGTGTATAGAAGTGAGGTAAGTTGCCTGCAGTATCACAGCCAGTCAGTGGGAGAGCCAGACCTGGATCCTGTCTGTGTGACTGAACTGTCACACCACACCTGCTTCATCTCATTGTGGAGAACTGGGGTGCCCCTCTTCACAGTCAGAGGGATGCTTGGAGACAGCCAGTCCAATCTCTGGGCTTTATAATGAGGAAACAGAAAGCAAGGACTTGGCTGGCCACAGACACACTGCTAATGGAAGACAAAAAGGATAGATTTCAGGGCTCCAGGCTCCATCATTCCACTAAACTAAGTCAAGTCAGTATACGGTCAGCCCTCCAGCCATATTTTCTGCATCCATGGATTCAGCCAACTGTAGATTGAATATAGTTGGGAGTAAACTTGCACCTGTACTGAAGACATGTAGACTTTTCTTACTATGCCCTAACTGTTGCAGTATGGCAACTATTTATATAACACTGACATTGCCTTCAATATTATTAGTGACCTTCGAATGATATAAAGTCTCCAGTAGGATGTTTGTAGATTCTATGCAGACACTGTGCCATTTCATGTAAGGGACTTGGATTTTGCTATCCATGGATGTTCTAGAACCAACTGGATCCAACCCATGGATACTGAGGGATGACAGCATTAATTATAAACAATGTGGAATAATTCTGGTAAAAAAAAAAAATATGTATTGTTGAAGTGGATTCATTCTGAGAGGAGGAGCTTGATGGGGGCAAGTGGTGTGGAGTTACCACACAGACCCTGGGAGTCAGGTGAAAACAGGCCAGAGGCAAGCAGCCCACAGACTCGTTTATTTCAGTTGGTACTGCAGCTTATATAGCCAAGGCAGCCAGTCCGGTCAAGGGGCAGTCTATGCCCTAACCAATCACAGGCTGTTGCCAGGCAGTTTCTGAAGCCATCCAATCACAACCTGTTGCCAGGCAGGCTCCGTTGCCATGTGGTTTCCGAAGCCATCCAATCACAGCCTGTTGCTAGGCAGTTTCCGTTGCCAGTGGCCATCTTGGCGTGGCCTTTTCATTCCACCACAATGTATCATTTAAGATACTTTGGTAAACTTAGTCCCCAAATGGAGCCAGTAAATATTAGTGGGAAAAAACAGAAGCAATAAACACTGATAGCTTCTTTTAACTATAAACATTTTAGAGAAGGAAGGAATCACACCACGACTTGTATATTCCTGATTCTCTGAAGATGTGTGAGTTGTTGGTTCCTATGTTATGACTGACACAGTTATGATTTGTGTAAGTCACAACAGAGATCTCCTCACAAAGACATAGTCCCTTCATCTTTTATACTCCTTATTTTCCTCAGCGATGTTGGAGTTTACATAATCTCTGCTGGAAGAATTCTATTCCTAAAGCAGTATCCCAAATACTTTGTATAATTATAAAAATCCTTAAAGTAAAATCTCTTCTGTTTTTCTTTTCTTTTCACTAACTCTTGTTTTTCTGCTTTGGATCTCAAAATTGACCTCAATAACTTCATTAAAAAGCCTGAGAAAGTCTTAGTACAAAGACATGGAAATTCTACGTAAATGGAAATATTTGAATTAAAAAGTCATCCTCATGGGTTGGGCATTTAGCCTAGGGATTAAGATGCCCTGTGCTATAGTGCAGGACCTGGGTTCAGTTCCTGGCTCTGGCTCCTAACTCCAGTTTCCAGTTTCCTGCCAGTCCAGACTCTGGGAGCCAGTGGTTATGGCTCATGTAATTGGGTCCTGCCACCCATGTAGGAGACCTGGATGGAGTTCCTGGCTCTAGCTTCAACCCTGGCTATTGCAGGTATTTGGGGAGTGAACCAGTTGGTGGGAGCCCCCTCCCTTCCTCTGTCACATAAATAAATATATTTATATACATACATAAATAAGTTTTTAAAAATTATTCTCAGCTCTTGAAATCTGCTTAAGTTTTCCCAAACCCACAGTAAATGCCCTTGGCCTTTGTAATATCTATAGGATAGCATGTGGAATTTGCAAGTAGAATTGTTTATTGGAAAATTAAGGGTTCAAGAAAATTTACCATGGCTACTCAATACCTTTTTTTTTTTTCTATTTTTTAAACACTTCACTACCTTTTCATAGGGAAAGGCCAGCAGCAATCCCTATAGAAATCAAGAGCATCGATGATACTTCCAATTTTGATGACTTCCCTGAGTCCGATATTTTACAACCAGGTAAGACAGTGTAACGTCATTATTAAAAATCTGCCATTTCACTAACGAACTGCGTTCATTCACGGCTCACTCTTCTATTCTAGTGCCAAATACCACAGAACCCGACTACAAATCCAAAGACTGGGTTTTTCTCAATTATACCTATAAAAGGTTCGAAGGGTTGACTCAGCGCGGCTCCATCCCTACGTACATGAAAGCCGGGAAGTTGTGAGTGAGGAGCGCATTCGCCCACAGCCAAGAGAACTCAGGTAGCTGCATCACCAGGCTTGCTTGGCGTAGGTCACAGTACACTGAAGCACTCCTGACGACGGACGGTGGTGCTCGCCGACTGCGAGAGGAAATTCTGCGGGATTAGGATTTCTAAGACTACTACAGGAATTGGTTGGCAGTGCCAGCTGGCTTTTTTTTTTTTTTTTTTTACTATTTTATTATTTTTGTTAACTTTATTATACGAAGGTACTGGAATAAAAGGAACATACATCCCTCTGTAACTGCACTGCCTACCTGCATATTAAGGTCCATTCTGCCTGTGTGTGCCATGGCTTCGAACTGTAACACCTCTAATCAGTTCAGGAGAAACACATATCACTTAAAGCAACATCGGCCAAGCTGTAGGTAACCCTGCAGTGCGGCTGTTTTCCTGCAAATCGTAAGGGTCTAGATAATCAGTAAAAGCCATCTCCCGTAGCTGGTGGGAGAACATTTGCCCTACTGGTTTGGACATCCGTAGAATATATCTGAAGACAATTTCTGTAATGGTTTTAAGACATTTAAGGAGAAATAACACTGGTTCTTTATGTCATCCAGTTGCTACACAGACACCACAGTAGGGTGCGACAAGAGCATAATAAGAAAGAGGAAGCTTATCACCTTCACTCAAGCAATCCACTAATATATTTACTTCATTCAGAAATACTGACCTTTATCTATGTAGTCTGTATACTGATAGGGAGATGTTCTGTACTATAGGAAATGGAAGGTTGCTTTTCTCGTGACAAGAGGACTTCTTTTTTACCAAGAGGACACAGCATTATTTTAATTTGATTATGGTGAGTTGAATCCCAGAAATGACAATGGAGGCTGCTTGTAGAACTAGTGTATTTTTATTAAACTATTTTTTTAAATGTCAAACTTCTGATCATGTATATGGACTCGTAGAGAACAAAGCTGTTCACTTTGGTTTTCTAGAAAGTTGTTACATATCACGGCTGGTTAACGTTCAGTTCCTCTGACAGTACGAGTATTGTCGTGCCATTATTTTCCTACGCTCCAAGTGTACCAAAGATCCTGAACGGAGTGGGCGTTCTCCACTGAGTGGGATTTTACTGAGCTGTGGGAAGGCCACGTGCGGCCCTGGCCGATCTTTGACAGGCCCGGCCCCTCCACGTTGAGCTCCTCCGCTGTGGAACAGGAAGGAAAGGCAGGCTGCGAGGTTGCGATTATCGCGTGGGGCCGTGATGCCAGCCCCAGAGTCCAGGTATTCCCTCAGAATTCAGTGATCTTTGCTAGCCCAGCGTTCTCCCTCTAGAATGAGCCGCTTCAGAATACTAGCAGAGGAAGAATACGGAGTGGTCTCACGTGACGATAGCCCCGCCAGCCACCTGTGCTCTCCGCGGAACCGCCGCATGGCCGCCCACAGCTCGCTCCTCCTCCTGCGCGGTCCTCCTCGGACTCCCTGGGCTCATCTTCCCTTTGCTGGTCTCGATCACGTGGCCGAGCCGGAGGAGAGAGGGAGCTCTTTTACAACTCTGGGTTTTCTCAATTGGGCTAACTCTGATTTTTCTAATTATAACTGCCTTTAATTCTTTTTTCAGAAACATCGTTAGCGCCTGCTGGGGTTTGAGATTGTCACCCCCCCTCCTGTCCTGGGCTGGGAGGAGAGTGCCCTGGGTCTGGTCTAGGCGGGCAGCATTGAGGTTGCCTCCGAGAGGGACTGAGATGGATGCAGAGGAGCGGGGTCACCTGAGGTGACCGCCACTGCTGCGGAGACAGCGCTTTGGTTCAGTTTCCCTGAGAGTGCTTAGGACCTCCTGGTAGTGCAGGGGCCGTTCTGGAAGGGTCACTCTGCTCCCTGGAGTTAACAGAGTGCTTCACCATCTTTGGGGGTTCCCCTCATCACGAGCATTTCTTAAGTGCCTATCCAAAAGGAAGTAAAGACTGCCTGCCCTTTGGAAGCTAAGAATTTGATTCATGATGCAAATTAGCACACGATGTGCAGAGTACCCTTGAGACTGAATCCTCTCTATTATTCGTCTCCCATATTTCAGGTGAATCATTTCATTTAAATGACAAAACGCTATCTGATCAACTGGGTATAATGACATTTCTTTAAATTAGACTCTATTTTGAATTAAAAGAGTTTTATTATAAACTATGTGTGTTTTGGTTTTTCTAAGTATACAGAAAGCTTGTATAATTTAGAATTATTGGTTTCCTGATTTAATGTAGACTGATTTTTTTTAATTAAAAACCTTTGTATTAAAACAAGTTATGTTATTTTGTTCATGCATTTATTAGTGATGTAGTGTTAAATTTATAAAATGTATTGAAGCATTGTGCTGCCTGCAAAATAAGGACTCACTTAGAAATCAGCCACGTCATACACAGCTGATTTAATAAGCTAGTTGAATGGAAAATGTGGAATATTAAAATGTTCTTTGGTTGCTAAGGCATGGTTAAGATAGGGTTACTTTCATTTCTATAGCAGCATACTTTTTCAGTTTTTGAAAACATCTTTGTGTAAATCTATACCTTTTAAAACATTTTAAAGTACATTTTTTGGTTTTTTTTAAAAGATTTTATTTATTTTACTTGAAAGTCAGAGTTACACAGAAAGAGGAGAGGTAGAGACAGAGAGAAAGAGAGATCTTCCATCCGCTGCTTCACTCCCCAGTTGGCCACAATGGCGAGAGCTGCGCCAATCCGAAGCCAGGAGCTTCTTCCAGGTCTCCCATGCGGATGCAGGGGCCCAAGGACTTGGGCCGTCTTCTACTGCTCTTCCAGGACACAGCAGAGAGCTGGATCAGAAGAGCAGCTGGGACTAGAACCGGCGCCCATATGGGATGCTGACGCTTCAGGCCAGGGCATTAATCCACTGGGCCACAGCACCGGCCCCTGGTGTTTTCTTGTAGGAAACCTTTAGACAATCAATTAATCAAAATTAATATAAGATCAATTAATGGAAGAAACAGCTCTCTCTTTTTAGTGACCTGAGACACATAAATTGAGATTTTCATCAGTAGAGCTCCCTGGCAATGAAAAGCATTCTCTCTCTGAATTGTTAAAATTCAGAACATTCAAGATGATTGTTTTGCTACAAGCATGATTAATGCCCCCCCTTACTTAAATTTCATTTCTCTTTATAAGTGCACTTATCTCTGAGAAATCTTAACACACTGAGAACAACTATAAATACGAGACACTTGGGACTACTAGAGGCATTTTAGATTTTTATGAAAAAATGTGAGGGATAATGCTGCTTTAAAAAAGAATAAAGTAATATATATATATTAGTTATTTTTTAAAAAGCAATAAAATGCAGCATTTGTCTAGAAAAATAATCATCAGGCTCTTGAGTTTGGTGTTCAGGTACTGAGTTTCAGAACGTGTCTATGGTGGCATGACAGCTTTTTCACTGAAAGGAGGACAAGAATAAGAACTGTTTACAAAGTTTCCGCTGGTGAGGTTACTTTGGTTTAATTTTTGAGTGTTGAGGTAGGCGCTATTCAGAACTCAAGACTATTTTGTAAATGTAAACTACTGAACAACTTTTACACTTGAAGTGAAAACAAAATAAATATTTGAAGTTTCAGTCGTGTTATGTTTAAGCAGTCGGGATAGTTGAAAACGTCTTTATCTAAAGATCTCCCTACAAAGCTGTAAGCAAAAACATAAGGCTACACAAACTCTAAGTTGTAGTGTCAGGGCCTGGCTGAGACGAGAGCTATATAGCTGCTCCATGAGTTCAAAACCTGTTGGTAAGCAGAAAACTGAAAATGCCTCCCACCAGCAGGCACTGAAACTGGCCCAGGTAGCACTCCGCCCCGTGCCCCAGAAAGCACTGACAGTGACGACACTTTTCCACTGGCCCAAAGGAGCCAGACAGGATCCTGTTCAACCCGGTCACACTCTGGTGGTCCCTAACCTACATCTTTTCCTTAATGCCCTTGTTAAACAGGGAAGTCATTGCGTGTCAAAATCTGGGCCTCGGGTGGGCATTTGAGCAGCAGTTAAGATGCCCCTTGGGATGTTGGCGCCCCAGTCAGGGTGCCTGGATTCATGTGCCCGCGCCACTCCCAAGTCCAGCTTCCTCGTATGCCCTCCTGTGAGGCAGAAGGCAGATGATGGCTCGGGTACTTGCATCTGTGCGTTGTCTGAGAGACCAGGATGGAGTTCCTGGTTCCTGCTCCTTCCTGGCCCTGCCCTGGCTGCCGCAGGCATTTGGGGGCCTAGAGCAATGGTTGGGAGATCTCTGTCTCCCTGCCTCTGAAATACAAATTAATTAAAAGTTGCCAAAAAGTTACTGTTAAAAATGAAAATGGGGGGCCAACTCTGGGGTGCAGCTGCTAAGCTGTGGCTTGCATTGCAGGTATCCTAATTTGGAGCCTGGTTTGAGCCTGACTGCTCCACTTCCCGTCCAGCTCCCCACCAATGCAGCTGGGTAAAATAATACCTGAACAGGAGGGGCTGGCGTGCTGTGGCATAGCAAGTAAAGCCGGCAGTGCCAACAACCCATATGGGCGCTGGTTCAAGACCCTGTTGCTCCATTTCTGATCCAGCTCTCTGCTATGGCCTGGGAAAGCAGTAGAAGATGGCCCAACTCCTTGGGCCCCTGCACCTGCATGGGAGACCTGAAAGAAGGACCTGGCTCTTGGCTTCAGATTGAGGCAGCTCCAGGCGTTGCAGCCAACTGGGGAGTGAACCAGTGGATGGAAGACACTCTCTCTCTCTCTCTCTCTCTCTCTCTTTCTGCTTCTCCTCTCGGTGTGACTGTGACTTTCAAGTAAAATAAATAAATCTTTAAAAAAAAAAAAAAGGAGTTGAAGAACCCTCCTGTACAATTCTGTGGAATGCAGAGGGAACCCTCCTGTGCAGCTCTGTGGAACACAGGAGGAAGGGTGGAGGCCCCTGGACACCTTGCTCCCTGTAGGAGCGCAAAAGTAAATCTTACTATCGTCTCCGACACCCAGGAATGCATTGTCTGTAAGGGGAGAAGAGCTGCAGGTAATAACCACAAGTACAGAGACACCTGCATAGCACCCCCCCCCCCATCTTGTCCTAAGTTTTAGCCTTGCTTGTGATTTTCCTGGAATTTTAGTGTACTGCTACCCCTGTCTGGCTGGTAGAAATCCTGCTCCACCCTGCGTCATCTGCTGCAACAACCAAGGGCGCAGAGAATGCCTCTTCGACGAGAGGCGGCACTGGCCGTGGTGGCCCTCTGGGGAGTGCACGAGCACGAGCGGCTGGAAGACCTCTCTGTCTGTGTCTCATTCTGTAACTCTGCCTCTGAAATAGGCACATCTTTAAAAAACAGCAACAGCAATGTAACTGACACCAAAAAACTATGTATGCTTAGGGCCCTGTGATGTCTCAGTACACATTGTATACACTGTGCAATTCCCAAATCAGGGTGAACATATGTATCAAATACTTCACCATTTCTTTATTATGAAAACTCAGCCTTTCTCCCAATTTTTTGAGCAAAGCCTACAGTACATCATTATCGACATTCATTTTTTTCTGTGCAGTAGAACCCCAGAATTTCTTAACTCCTAGAGAGACGGAATCGTCCATGTGCTGGGTCACTCCCCGAAGTGGCAGCAAGGGACAGGGCGGGGCCAGGCTGAAACCCGGAGCCACAGCTCCTGGCACAGTCCTCAGCCCCTCTCAGCGCGGCCAGCAAGGCGTAAGGACTCCCCAGCTCCTGCCGTGCAGGGAGAGTCCCGGACCACAGCGAGCGCTCTGCATTCCTCCGGGCCTTCAGGCTTTGGGTGGAAGTGAATCACTCTCAAGACTTGGCCAGATGATGACTCACCCGCAAGCTTGGACGCCGTGCACGACGTCCACTGCTAAACAGACCCGACTGATGAACTTGCTTCGACCCTCGGCTGCCCAGACAGGACTGGAGGTGTCTGATGCACCTGGGGCCAGGGGCTGTGAGTCTCCCGGAGATGCTCTCGGGGCCAGATGGCATAGCATCAAGGTGGCACCAAACAGGCGCCCTCGTCCCCCCACACACGCCCTTGCGAACCAACTCGGACCTGTGTTCTCCGTCCGGAAACCCGGGCCTGTGCAGGTCTGGGGCCTAGCTGCCCCGGCCCGCTGCAGGATGAGCTTCCCAGCTGCCCGCAGTGGTGGGTGGAGGTGGCATTGGGGGGTAGAAGCCAGGAGTGCGACGTTCCCAGAGCGGTTTCCCGGGCTGGGAGGGACCCGGCGCGAGCCTAACCCCAGCTGCGTGCAGGGTCCGTCCAGCGAGTCCCCAGGGAACGTGTTTCCGGAGTGACCCACGCACTCGAGGAGCCCAAACGGCGCCCCTGGTGTCCCCTCCACCGGCCCCTAAGCAGCGACGCGCAGGTGCAGTGAGCGCCCCGACGCGCGCCCGGCCCTCCCCGCCCTGCCAGCCCGGGGCGCCACGGCCAAGCCCCGCGTTCTCCCCCGCGCGGCTCCACGGCGCCTCCTCCGGCCCCGGCCCCGGCTCCGGCCCCGGCCCCGGCCCCGGCTCAGGCCCCGGCCCCGGCTCCGCCCGTCGCGGCTCCGCCCTGCGCCCGCTCCGCGGCTCCAGCGCGGAGCCCTCGGCGCGCAGACTGCGGGCGCCAGCCCAGGCCGCGGGCGGAGTCGGCGGCGCCCGGGGCGCTGCGGCGGGGTCCCCCGGCTCCCGGGCCGAGCCCAGCGGCTGGGTGCCCGCGCCCCTACCCGGGGCCGACCTACGCTGGGGGGCTCGGGCGATGGCGGCGGAAGAGGAGGCTGCGGCGGGAGGTGAGGTTGCCGGGGGCGGGCGAGGCGGCGCCCGGTGAGCCCACGCTGTGCTCGCGGCTGTGCCCGCGAGCTCGTGAGTGCTCCGAGGTCCCCGTGCTGTCGCGCAAGCCGGTTGTCATCTGCGCCTCGGTGCCTGGCCGCGAGCACTGCCGGGTGCCGCGGCGCCTCCGCGGGCGGCTGCAGGTGCACGGCGGCGCTCACCTGCACCTGCCGAGCCCGGCCGGCCTCCGGGAAGCCGGCCCGCGCCGCCGCAGCCGCAGCTCTCGGTGTACGCTTAGGAGGAATTGTGTGCCGCGAGTTGGAAGTTAGGGCTTTTGTGGTTTTCTTTGCTTGGGACCGCTTCTCCCATTTACGGGTCGGAGGGGTAAGTGTCCGAATCTCTGCCGTTCTGATGTGTGTGTTCTTTGCTGATGATACGGACTCGTGGGGGAATTCTCCTGTAGGACTTGGAGGACCGGGTGTAGGGCTGGGACTCCCCCTGTGCCCCGGCCTGTTGCTGAACTCTGCCTGGTGTTGGGACT